AAAAAGCAAAGCAAAGCAAAGCAAAGCAAAGCAAAGCAAAGCAAAGCACAGCACATCGTAGAGGCCTTTGGTTTGTGTTGGTCACGTCTCAAGCATCGTTAATTTACTTCCATTAATATCCACTGAAAATATGCAAACCCAAGTTTCCAAACCAAAGTTAATGCTTGTAAATAATGAATTCCTTCTTGCACAGTTACTCCTTTAAAAATATCAACTTGCTATAACTTTCTTCCTTAATGCCAATTCTTAACAAATTAAAATACAATAACAGGAGTGTAATTGAGCATTTATTGCTTATGGGCTCTAAAATGAGGCTAATCAGATAGTGACTAAGCCTCAGCATGGGCTCTTTTAATAGGCATGTTTTAACATACAATAACCAGGATATTTTATTCAAAATTATTATAGAAATGTACCAAGTGTCTGCTCTCCAGATTCGAATGTAGCAAGGGAAGACATTTATCTTTAGCTCAGCATGGGCCAGGGGATTTGTTTTGTTGCCTGACTTAGGCGATGCAACCTCAGAAGAACTAGCTCTAAAAAAAAGTTGTAAAGTATCTGTTCATATCCTTCGCCCACTTTTGAATGGGCTTGTTAGTTTTTTTCTTGTAAATCTGAAACCACCATTCTCAGCAAACTGACAGAAGAGCAGAAGATCAAACACTGCATGTTCTCACTCATAGGTGGGTGTTGAACAATGAGAACACATGGACACAGGGAGGGGAGCACTACACACTGGGGTCAGTTGGGGGGAAATAGGGGAGGGATGGTGGGGGGTGGGGAGCTGGGGAGAGGAAGAGATAGCAAGGGGAGAGAGGCCAGATGTAGGTGATGGGGAGGAAGGCAGCAAATCACACTGCCACGTGTGTACCTATGCAACAATCTTGCATGTTCTTCACATGTACACCAAAACCTAAAATGCAATAAAATAAATAAATGGGGGGGAAAAAAGTTGGCACATAAAATAGTCAATTCTTATATTTCAAGGCACTACACATTTCAAAAAACTTTACAAAATACATTTCCTAGTTAATAAAAGCCCGCCAAACTCAACGCTTTACATACAGGTGGCAGGTAAAGACAC